TGGCTCGCCAGAGTAGCTTCGTCACACTGGCCACATGACCCGGAAGTGTCTGCGGACAGCGCTGGCTCCCGGCCTATAGAGTGAGATGAGCGCACAACCCTAGAGTCTAGCAAGACTGGCCCGTACGGGCAGGGGTACCTTTAAGGCACCTAGCAGTGCGCAACCTGCCTCTTCCCACACTGTAGCTGTTGAGGTATTGCTGCCCCCCCCCCCTGGTAAATGACAGCAACAGACAGAATTGAGCGTCCAGTGGGGGTGAAGGAAGGACCTTGGGTAATGATCATTGCGGGTGAGAATAGGGGTCTTAATATTCCCATTCCCATCTGTGGAAATGGGAGGGTGAGCTTAATCTGCAAGGTGATTATTTGCTGCCACTTGATGGTGTAGTTATTTTGGTTCCTGTTTCACCTGGTTACTCTGGCACGCTACATCTGGCCCCAGATCTTTGTACCAAGAATGCCCAAATACAGTGACCTGGATAAATTATGTAAATTTGCTTACATTATTCAGCTTTTGCTTGTCAATAGGGGGAGGGGGGAAATGCCTCCCTTTGAAGGTTGGGATTCTTATTTTGGCTTTCTCTCTGGGTTCTGAAACCTCCACCTTTAGACTTCTCTTTCAAGTTTATCCTTACACCAACAGGACTAGAAACTTCCTTTAAATTTAAAAAGAAAAGATGGGGGAGTGGGAAGCTGTGGTTTTTCAAAAGACAGTTGTTCAGCCCAGTACCATATTTTATGTGTTTTATTCATGGACATAGTCACAGGGACACCATTCTACAAGATTTTTGAAAAATGTCACTGATAGAGGCATTTTGACAATTTTTTTTTTTTAAGTGGTTCCTAATTTGCTTACTGTTTTGTAATGCTCTTTTGTCTGCCCCCTCACTTTCTCCATTAGTTGGTAGCTAATCTTTGGTCTTAATGGAGTTATGTTTCCTAGAGCAGGAGCCAGCCAATCTGAATAATTGGTTCTGTTCTTGGAAAACTTTTTCTTCTTCTTAACAACAGAGACCTTTTAAAGATTAGCTACGCTTCTTCTTCGGTGTGGCATTTAAAATGACAGCTACTACCATCCAGATTGTGTTCCCTGAGGCTGAGTGTGATAGAACAAGGTACAAAGGACCGCATTCACAATACCAATGCAGGGGTTGGGATGCCACCTCTTTGAACATTTTTAAAGCCTGCAGTTAGAAAGTTAGCATATGAGAATGGTAAAATATGCAGGAATGATAGATAAGTAAATTGAATCATAGCAGGAAAAGAAGGGAAGTCAATGGATATATGGCATTGTGCAAAATGTTCATTTTGAAATGCAGAATTTGAAAATTTAATTAAAATTACACTAAAAAAGTGATAATAATAGCAGTAATAATAATTTATTATTTATATGCTGCCATCTGGCTGGGTTTCCCCAGCCACTCTGGGCTGCTCTCAACAGAATATTAAAAACACAATAAAACATCAGACATTAAAAACTTGCCTAAAAAGGGCTGCCTTGGAGCATATGAGGAAGTTTAGGGCGGGGGGGGGGAGTTCTTTTTGTGGAAGAATAGTACCAGTAAGTCTGAAATTGTACAATTCCATACCCTCCGCAACATTTCCCTGCTGAAAATAGGGACGTCCTAAGGTAAAGTGGTGGGACGCGGGTGGCGCTGTGGGTTAAACCACAGAGCCTAGGACTTGCTGATCAGGAGGTCGGCGGTTCAAATCCCCGTGACGGGGTGAGCTCCTGTTGCTCGGTACCTGCTCCTGCCAACCTAGCAGTTCGAAAGCACATCAAAGTGCAAGTAGATAAATAGGTACCGCTCTGGCGGGAAGGTAAACGGCGTTTCCGTGCGCTGCTCTGGTTTGCCAGAAGTGGCTTAGTCGTGCTGGCCACATGACCCGGAAGCTGTACACTGGCTCCCTCAGCCAATAAAGCGAGATGAGCGCCGCAACCCCAGAGTCGGCCACGACTGGACCTAATGGTCAGGGGTCCCTTTACCTTTACCTTAAGGTAAAGTGGCACGTTCCAGGATAAAATCAGAAACCGGGGCGGCTTCTGTAAATCCAGGATTGTCCCTGGAAAATAGGGACACTTGAAGGGTCTGCAATTCCAACACCTCAATCTGTAAAAAAGATAGATCAGCTGGGAATGATAAGAACATTACATACTTGTGTATAAGAAATAGAACAGACACTCCTTGATGTTATTAGAAGGCAGGAAAAATAGGAATGAGCTGGAAAGCTGTGAGCCACACTGAAGCTTCCTTCCAGTTCCCCAAATTTGCCAATAGTTCTGCCACATAGAATCCTTCATCTTCATTTCCCAGCTTTCTCTCCATAATGTTTGCTCTCTACCTGTTTTAAAGCTTTTTCTGAATCAATGAGGACTAGAAACGTGTTTTGTTTTACAATGACACCAACACAGTGCAGTGAGGACCAGATTTTGAGCAAGCATGCTGCAAAACAACTGCAAATGTGGGACGGCATTGCTGCAGTGTATGTAACCTTGGTGCTCAGCAACCGTTTTGCCTCTGGATTTATTGGGCAGGGAGAATACACGAGGAGGAACAAGTTGAGCTAAGAAAGCTTGATTGTAATTTTCTCTCAAGATCAAATTGATTATTTTGAACTGCTTTCACAGGGCCCCTAAAAGGTGTGGGGCCCATTCTCCGATGCCTACTCTACCTATTTGGTAATCCGGCATTGAGCCCGTGCTGCAGGCCCTCCGTCCTTGATATGGCAGCAATTCGGCGCTTGCAACTTTGCCCCGATTCCTAGATTCCACACCTGTTCTGGACTCCCTTTACTCCTCAACTGCAAGGCAGTGGCAGGTTTTGAATTGCGCTGCCCCCGCCCCGCCCCCCCCCAGCCCAAGCACCTGTGTGTTTACTCCCTGGCCCAAATGTTGAGGATGAGCTCAGCTTGTCCCTCCACGTGGCGGAAGAGGAGAAGGGCTTGCTTCTTGCCAAAACGTTGTCACGGCGTTAGTCAGCATGCCTTGGCATTGAATGTGCACATTGGCAAGCCCTTGCAAGAAGCACCCAGGGTTGGCATTGGCCCTGTGAACAGGTGAAGGAGTCGGCGATATGCTGCTGACTAAGCTTGGTTTTGGATGGCCTCTGCCTGCTCCCCTTCCTCCTCCTCCCGTGTTTAAAACCTGTGTGTGTGTGTGTGTGTGTGTGTGTGTGTGTGTAAAATTGTGAATCCCAAGCTGCGGTAAATTTCCTCAGCAAAAGGGCCTAGTCCTGTGTGTTTTGCCCATTGGGACATGAGTTTGTGTGTGTGATGGGCAGTCCAAAAGCAGAACCGAAATCCATCTGCAGCTCCCAGCAAGTGGCATTGAGAGGAGTTCTGCCTCCAGCAAGATGTAGTAGCCAAAATGGCAAGTCGCCATGATGAACCCGGTAGCCCTCCATATGTTGGTGGACTCCGACTCCCATCAGCCCCTGACAGCTTGGCTGGGAGTCGGGGATGATGGGCATTGCAGTCCAGAAACATTGGTGCTTCTGTGTGTGTGTGTGTGTGTGTGTGTGTGTGACCCACTCAATCCTGTTCTGGATTATTGTATTGTGCTTACTGTATTTTATGCCGCTTTATGAGGCCTTCGCCCCCAAAAGTCAGCCCTAAGGAATATGTTACAACAGGAGTCAGCAACCTTTTTCAGCCATGGGGCCATCCACAATCCCTCAGACCATGTGGTGGGGCGGACTATATTTTTTGGGGGGAAAGAACGAATTCCTATGCATAGCTGTCAACTTTTCCCTTTTTTAAAGGGAAATTCCCTTATTCCAAATAGGATTCCTCGCAAGAAAAGGGAAAAGTTGACAGCTATGTATCCTATGCCCCACAAATAACCCACAGATTTGTTTTAAATAAAAGCACACATTCTACTCATGTAAAAACACGCTGATTCCCGGACCGTCCGTGGGCCACATTGAGAAGGCGATTAGGCCGGATCCAGGCCTTAGGATGCCTACACCTGCGTTAAAGCAAAGAAAACAAAATCCTCTTAGGGAGTCCTAGAGAGCAGAGTTATTAGGCGGCAGACAGGCCATTAGGCTGAGTAAGGTGTCTCCCTCGGGGATCACATCTTAAATGATGTGAAAATAAGGCAAATCGTTGGTTAATTTGACTTTTACTGAGTGCAAGAGGGAACGTTGTCTACCGCCTGAGGGGATGGGGAGAGGGTGACTTGTGTCCGAGGAAATGGCTAATTCCCCCACGATGAATTATGTGTGTGTGTGAGCCTGATCTCGCTCAGCTGCTCTGAGGTAAACGCAGCAAAAGCATGGCGTGCACACACACGCACACACCTCTTTAATAACTCTTGAGGTATTTCCTAACGCGTCATGTCTCATAACTCGTGCCCGGTTCCCCGAGGGCTTTGGGAAATGGGGCTCTGCTCACTTCTGTCACTTGACCTGAACTTGCGGCTCACAAGTTAGGACTGACCAAATTATAGCAGATTCCTAGTTGATTTGTCAAATGCATTTAAGACAGTTGCAAAAATAATAACGTAAATGTTCATTATGGAGCCGAGGTGGCAGGAGTGTTGGATGGTGACTAGGAGACCCGGGTCCAAATCTTTACTCAGTCATGAAGCATGGGCTAATCTCCACCTCACAGCCTTAAGTCTACTTTGCCGGGTTGTTGTAAGGATAAAATGCATGGATAGAAGTGTTCACTCTCCTGAACTCTGAGCCTTTTCTGGGGGTGGGGGGCCGTTCCTTGATAATATGGAAACCTCTGTGTTTTTATTGCTGCGGCTGTTTGGGAGGGGGCTGTGATATTATGCTGCAATGGCTTTTGTAAATTGCATTGACTTTGGGAGAAGCAACAATTTTAAATAAATTGTACCATGCTTATCCCTATTGGCCCTTGCGCCTCGTATGTATTCCTTGCAACGCTAGATATTTATGGGTGATATTCGCTCCTTATCATAGATGGTTATCAGTTATTATAATAGCTGGTTTTGCACCTATTAATCTCCCCCCCACCTTTCGCCCTCTCTAGGTATGAGGACCCTCAGCGAAGATACGATCAGACTCTTTCTGCAGCAAATTGCCGGCGCCATGAAGGTGCTACACAGCAAAGGGATAATCCACCGGGATCTGAAACCTCAAAACATCCTCCTTTCTTTTGTGGGGGGCAAAAAATCAAACCCCAATAACATTCGCATTAAGATTGGTAAGCCCCTGGAGCTGTCCATTGATTTCTTTAAAAAATTTAAAAATGTTTGCTGGTAATGTGTAACAGATATTGTAGTTGAAACTGGTTTTCCAAATTTCACAAGTGGAATTCCAAACCAGGCCAAGTAATTAGCTTTTTTAATAAAAAAAAAGTCATGCATTTTTATTTATTTTTGTCCGCTTCACTCAGTGGATTGTTCTGGATTGTTATATTGCAGTTCTATGTGAATTTACACAGAAGTATTCAGCTTACTCTATAGCAAGTGTGTTTGACAGCCAAGTGCAACAATTTCCTCTGTTAAAATATATTCTGTGTTTTGGGGCGATACAAAAACTATTGTTCTGCGCTCAACGACAATTGTTTGGGCACACGCAAGTGCGCCTTTGTCGTCACCAAGTGGTGGTCACTCACGTACGTGTACTGTGTTTGTGAGCTGTCATTTATTTTAACCTTGCTCTTTTTTCCTTTCTTTTTGGCTTGTTTTGGTTCTGCGTGTAGCTGATTTTGGATTTGCACGATACCTGCAGAGCAATATGATGGCTGCGACTCTCTGTGGCTCCCCCATGTACATGGTAAGTCCATTCTGGTTATCATTTTGCCCGCAGTAGGAACTATTCTTTATCACTGCGGAATGTGGGGAGTTAAAAACAAACATCCGTTAATGAAGCTTATTGAACGTGAATGTAAGGCTCTGTTCCAATTGTGTCTCCTCTCACTTCCTGCTGTATGATGTTCCCTGCCATGTCCTGTTTTGTATCTCTCCTGCCATGTGCCTTTAAATGCCTGATTAAAACAAATCAACCCTGCATTTTCCTGTCAAACCACCACAGTGGTGATGAGCGGGGCAAAGAACAGTTCTTGTATTACAGCTCCCTGTTAAAGGTGTGGTGTCTCTCTGTTACTTTGCTTCTGGCAATCTCCCATTTTGTGGGATCGCGAGGAGGTAGAACATAGGGTCTGACCACTTGGCCATCTGCCGCACTGTTGTGTAGGTGGCAATGGTTCTCTAGAGTTTCAGACAAGAATCTTCCCTATCTCTCTCCCAGGGATTGAACCCAGGACTCCCCTCCCCAGTTCTTACCTGTGCTTTGTGCCATAGAACTTAATGGAAGCCACTGAGAATCTAACCTGTGCTGCTCTGCATTGCCCTGTTCCACCCTGTGATTCTTTGCCCTCATTGAGTGTGATGAACTGTGCATGTGTGAGCGATTGATATTTACTGTAAGAATTCTGCACCCTCTGGGCAGCTCCCATTCAAAAGTGGGTCGTGTTGGCGAGGGGCCTTTGCACACTCCTTTGGCCGTCAGCCAATGCTCAACTGAGCTGATAGCTTGCTCTGGGCCTGTGGGCTGTGCCAGTTGAGTGTGGATTGATGTATTGATTTTAGAATCCTGATTGTAAACGATGTATCTCCCCATAACTTACTATGCAAAGGGATGCTGTTCGGGGTCATAAACCAATCTTCATTGTCGCTGCTGCTTTGTGTGAACACAGGTGGTCTTCTGTTGCTCTGGCCTATTGTGTTTTCTGCTGTTGTGCAGGCAAAAAGCCATAGAGTAGTCTCATTCAGAGGTTAGCTTAGCCAGGGCTCAACTCCAGGGCCTGTACTCCATGATAAAGCTTGGCTCTGAAATCATCAGTTGGGCGACGGTTGTATTTATTTACCTAGACCTGCCTCTCTTTTGTTGTGGAACTCAAGGTGACACGAACCGATTTCGGGGGGGGGGGGCGCATCTCCCACCTAGGCACCAGACGCAGGCCTGCTTAGCTTCAGCAATATTACAGTATAGTGTGCCTTCAGGCAGTGCTTTGTATTTGTGAAAGGGTTTTTCTGCCTGCTTTTAGGGTTTATATGCAGCAGCAGAAATTAACTTCAGTTAAATGAATCCTTGCTTGGAGCACACCTTTAATTGAAAGGTATAAAATAAGTATAAAATATATACTTGGTATAAAATAAGAAAGCTTATGTTAAAGGAAGTATATTCTTGATAGGAAAGCATTCTGTAGTCCTAGCTAACAAAGAAGCCATGCTTGCCTCTTAGTACAGTGGTGCCCCGCAAGACGAATGCCTCGCAAGACGAAAAACTCGCTAGACGAAAGGGTTTTCTGTTTTTTGAGTCGTTCCGCAAGACGAATTTCCCTATGGGCTTGCTTCGCAAGACGAAACGTCTTGCGAGTACTTGCGAGTTTGTTTCCTTTTTCTTAAAGCCGCTAAGCCGTTAATAGCTGCTAAGCCGCTAATAGCCGTGCTTCGCAAGACGAAAAAACCGCAAGATGAAGAGACTCGCGGAACGGATTAATTTCGTCTTGCGAGGCACCACTGTACTCAGGAAAGGACAGGAATGGTTGAAATTTGCAGGCACAACAGCCCCTCCAGAGTGGAAAGAGCCTACCACTTTATGGGCAAATAGGTTCAGGGGCTTTTCTGCTGGGCCCCATTTGAAGTTGATTTGGGGTGAGACGATCTGAAAGGGAATCACTTTCTGACTAAAAGCATTCCTTCCGATTTACTCATGAAGGAGCTCCCCCTCTCTACTCTGGATCATGCCATGTTTTCAGCTGGAGACGGAAGTTTTGATTTTTGTAAAACTGCCCCCTCTCCTTTGGGACTCAGCTGGATTCTTTGCAAAAAATATATATAAAAAATAGCAGTCTAGGAGAACAGGCAATGAAGTCTGAGATTGAAAGCAATCACAAGAAGTCTGTCTCCTTGCTCTCTTTACTTTCCATTTGATGGTAGTATTTTGCTATGAGACAGAAATACAGCATCCATTTGGTAATGCCTCCAGTTCTATCTCCTGTCATTAATATATAATCCTGTTCCACAGTAATAGTGCTGCATCTTCTAATGGAAAGAAGAGGAAAGAGAGAGACTTGTCTGGTTTGAACAGGATGAATTTGCAGGGGGGGGGTGGAATCTTTCCTCATTGCCATGAGATTGGCTACCAAGCTTATGTTGGAAAAGACAGTTTGTGTATGGATGTTGGGCACTTGATTCCCACCTGAAGAGTCTGCCTTAGGACCTTTACATGTTAAGTAACAGCAAGCCTGGTCTACTTCTGAAAGTGCACTTGACAGTCCCAGCTTTCCAGTTACTGTGACATGGTTCACAAGTTCTTGTGTTTCAGTTGGCAGTGAAGTGATGAATTGCATGTGTGAATAGCCTACATCAGGTGTCATGGACTTATCATGACTTGGTTTGTTTGGACTATGCCTTGGTCTTGAATGCTTCCTCCTTCCTCCTTCCACTCTCCCATCTCCTTCCTTTTACTTTTCCTGGCTCACAAGAGCTACAGTTGATTTCTCTGTGTATATGAATCGGGCAAACCAAACAGTGGTGTCCAGTTCTGACTTGGTTTGCAGCGCTCATGGTTTGTGTGAATCGGACATAATGACAAGCCGTGGTTACGGTGGACCTGGAAGTGAGGCTGGGTATCGGAGCATGCGAGTGGAGGAAGAATGTGAGGGACTCAAACCATGGCTTGGTCATGACATCCGAACCTGGACCTGCTTTTTCATAAATCCAATTTGCACATCAAGCTGCAAATCACCAGGTCTACATTAATAAAATTACAAACACACTGAGCATCATATATGTGCATGATGTGTGTAAATCCAGCCTCTGTGTATGATGAACACATTCTCAAAACTTCAAGTTTGTCCTCATGTGTAACTGCTAAAGACGTGTTAACAAAATGCTAACTTTACCCCCCACCCCCCACCCCCACATATCCATGCCTAGCTTGCTACCCTGTGGTGTGATCTTTAGCTCAGCCCTGGGGAGAGATGAATTCTTGTTCCATTATGCACTGCCTCAGAAAGGGAGAGGCTCCTTGAGGTCTGTTGCTGTTGCTTCTGCCAAGGCCTCATTTTCAAAGGATAGCGTTTGATGGCATCTAATTCTTCTCTTTGGCCTCTTTGTTGTTATGACTAGGTTGCCTGCAGAGTGTTTGCTAAGATTGCAAAGATCAGCAGGGGGAGGAAGTCCTGGGGAAGGACCAAGCTTAGGGGATGCAGCCAACGGCTTGTTTGTATGAGGTTAGCAAACATGCAATAGCAGTTTACGTGTGTGCTTTAGTTTTATGTGGCGGTTGAAAAGAAAACAGTTCACAATCTTCCCACGCAACTCTTGTCCCTCTGTTCCAGCTAATAAGAGACCATAGCTCAGTGGTGCAACTCCTGTTTCTTGTGCAAAAGATCCCAGGTTCACTTCCTACCATCTCCCAAGTTTTTGCTTGCTTGCTTTTATAGGATCAGGTAGTAGATGATGGGAGAGACTCCCTGTCTTAAACCGTGGAGAGATGCTGCCAGCATGAGCAGACAATACTGGACTACTTTAGGTGGTGTCGGCTGGGCTAGACCAGTTTGTTGTGTTTAATGCCTCCTCCCCCCCCCCCTTCAAAAATCAAATCAAATCTGGTTTTCAGATTAACCTTTCCCACAGCAGTGTTCTGCCAAGGAACTTCTAATAAGGCAAATAAAAACCCGGCACAGCTGCACAGAGGAGATACCTGCAGGTAACCTGGCAAATGAGCAGTTGCCTTTGACGTCTAATTCACCGAGTGCATTGGATAGACCTGTCATCATGGCTCTCAGTGTGAATCAAGACCTAATCGCAGCATACATGGTAAAAGGCTGCCATGTTAGAATGGACTGTTCCACTTTGCATTGCAGGTGGAGGCAGCAAACTCCCATGTCTCTTCTTTAAGGCATTTAAACATCTCAATCTTCTTCCGAGGAACTCTGACATGGCTTTGAAGATAAATTAGCACTATGAGGGATGCAAGGCTAAGGGAGGGAGAGAGGGAGAGAATGGCTGAAGGGCTCCTGGCTGATGACCAAACTAGATGTGCTGTGTAAAACAAAGGGTTAGATCGGCTCCAACATCATACACATTTCGTCTAATGCGAAAAACTTTTTATTTCTGCAGGCTTTCCCAGAAGGAAAGCGTTGGCAGGCAGGCAATATCTGATTGCTTTTAGGAAAACTGTTTCTGTTCCTTTTATTGTGTTGCAAGCTACTGAGCTTGCTCTTGTTTTCCTATGGCCCTCCTGGTGTTTCTGGGCCTTAGTTCCCATTTGCCTTGATTGCTGGCCAATGAGGGTTAAAGTCCTATGCAGATGTGCCCACAGGTTTCCCACCCTAGATTAGTGTCAATTGTACAAATGTTGGAAATGGAAGCACTGGCTTATGGTGGGAATGAAATGGTGGACTTCTTGGAGCTCCTTGGGACAAGGGTGGAATAAAAGTATAAGAAATACAGTGGCACCTCCGGTTGCGAACAGGATCCATTCTGGAGGTCCAGCCGCATCCCAAGGAATTCGCAACCGGAGGACCGCTTCTGCACATGTGTGCAGGGTGAAACCTGGAAAAATACTTCCGGGTTTGCCGTGTTCACATCCTGAGGCTTATGTATCCAGAGGGATACATCCAGACTCTATAAGGAAGGATACCACCCACCCACCCACACTTAGAAAAAAACCCACTGCAGCTTTTGTTCCACTCTTTCTCACAGCCAAGTTTGCTTGGATCTTGTTTGAAGTGGGGAATATGCATGGGAGGAATTGCAAAGAGATTATTCAGGGGGAGGTGGGGAGTTCTGTAATAAATATTGGGCCCCACCCCCCCACCCCTGTTATTATGTGTGATCAGGACATTATGCAGGTTTATGCAGACTGGTCTGTTTGCCCTCATCTGGTGCAGCCCTAAAGCAGGGAGCTGACGGTGGGTTTTTCACTTAGGGGTGGTTGCCAGACTTTGGGGAGCTTTCTCCGCCATTCCTGGAAGCTGTCCTCACACTCTTCTTTGTAGTAGGCCATATTCTTGGGAAGCTTGTTGTAGATTGTCATTCAGGCTGTGAAGTCTGGTGTTACCTGTCCTGGCTTGACTCTCTTGTTCACCTGGGTGGCAGCTGGTAAAAGATGTTGCTGTTTTTCAGACATGTGTGCACATTGGTTTTAGTTTTTTAGGGGAGAACTTTGCTTTAGTGTGGTGACTTATGTGTCTATGCAATAGAACAGGGTTCAGTAACCTTTTTCAGCCGTGGGCCGGTCCACTGTCTCTCAGACCATGTGGTGGGCCGGATTATATTTTGTAGGGAAAAAATGAACGAATTCCTATGCCCCACAAATAACCCAGAGATGCATTTTAAATAAAAGTACACATTCTACTCATGTAAAAACACGCTGATTCCCGGACCATTCGCAGGCTGGACTGAGAAGGCGATTGGGCCGCATCCGGCCCCCGGGCCTTAGGTTGCCTACCCCTGCAATAGAACATGAGTTAGCCCATGTGATCACCTCCAAATGTTGTTAGACTACAACTGCCATCAGCCCCAGCTAGCATAGCCCAATGGCCAGGGATGATGGGAGTTGTAGTCCAGCATCATCTGGAAAGCACTGTGTTGGCTACCCTTGTAATATAGAATGCAGATACATATGGATGCAAGTACATATGACAAGAGCGAAAATAGGCTTTATCTCACCCAGGTCAAAGACCCAGTTTGGCACCCACATTTGCCTACACACATACAGAGGCTGGGAGCATCAGTAACGCCCCTTTGGAGGCTTCACCTGGGATCAAAACCCTGGCTAGCATCCCCTGCCTCCCGTAGCTATGGCTCTGTATATGCAAATGTGTATTATATATTCTCACAAACAGAAACATGCATGCATGAGAAGGGCATGGAACCCCCCCCCCATCTCCAGCACGTCAGGAGATAAGGTGTTAGTTTCTTTATCTCATTAAAGCAAAATCACGCCTGAATTAACCAGATTAGAGTTATGAAATAACCTTCTCCATGCCTGTATAACTACATCGTTCTAAGCTGGGAACAAAATCTTTAATCTCTTTTGTGGAATCTTGGCATGTGTGTGTGTGTGTGTGTGTGTGTGTGTGTATGCGTATGCATGCTGGTTGGAAAGGGAGACTCCAAAGGGACTCACTTTCTTTCACAGTTATCAAGAAAAAGGTTTAAAAAATAAAATAAATTGGAAACTGAGGTATTAAAACAAAATGTAATGTTCCCTTTCTTCTCCTATTGCAGGCCCCAGAAGTCATTATGTCCCAACACTACGACGCCAAAGCTGACCTGTGGAGTATTGGCACCATCATTTACCAGTGTCTGACTGGAAAAGCCCCCTTCCAGGTGAGTTACCTTTGTGGCTTAGTTTCATGGCTGCCCATTAGGCCTTCTGGATTGCTCACCTGCCTCTCCTCGGAGGTTGTTTTCGTTGAAAAAAAGAATTCCAGCCTCCAACTTGAGCATCATCCATGTCACATGGGGAGAAACTTTGGGTTTGGCCTTCTTAGGGATGCAAGCCGTCTATTACAAATGCCACAAGTCTTGGTGGATGGTAGCACTGTTTTTCTTCCTTCATTTTATTTACTCTGTTTATTGAATCTGTATGCCGCCCTTCATCCAAAGATCCCAGGGCGATTCTTCCCTTGCTTTACTTGGGAAAAAATGGAACCAAGTGTGAGGAGATTGGGGTCAAGTAGCTGCTATTAGTGCCTGTTTCCCAGTTTGCAGCTGTCTGGGCAGGCCATTGGCCTGAGGGGAAGCTTCTTTGGGGATTAGCAACTGTATGGGGTAGACCAGGGGTCAGCAAGGTTTACCTCTCCTGAGCTGGTTCACTCCCGCGGAGATTGCTCCATGGGCCGGATCGCGTCTGTGCAGATGCAATTTCCGGTGTCTGTGCAGACGCAATTTCTGGCGCCGCGGAAGTGAGTCTCCGCTCCACGCTGTGCCGGTTTAGCTCAGGACGCGGGGACTCGCTGAACGGGCGGCTCAGTTTGGGGGTGGCTCCTAGGCTGTTTAAACAACCCCTGTGGGCCACTTGTGGCCCAAGAGCCGCAGGTTGCCAACCCCTGGCGTAGACTATAGAGCTTTTTGCCCAGGTAGGAGGCACCATCCACTCTGCAGGGACTGAAACGGGACAGTTTCTCTCTCCCACTCTTGACTTTTAATGCCATCCTCCTCCGCACCGTTTTGGGAGAAAAGGTTTTAGAAAGCCTTTTCCCATTTAAAATACGTTCACATCTCCTCTGGATAATGCAGCTTTCCAGAGTGGCTTGCATCAGAATATAAAAATACAAAATGAAAACGAGCAAACCCTAAAATCAATACCAGCTCCTCCTCCACTCTCTGAGCCCAACCGCTTTTCCCTCAGATGTAGAATGAATCAGTAGGTAAGAAAAGTAGAGGGGGAAACCCCAAATGTTGCCACAGTTAAAGCCTGTCTGTGGTAGCCACCCACCTGTTTCTGAAGACAGGCCTTTTGATGTCCTCAGCAGGTTCCTACAGGAGAAGGCAAGCCTTCCGATAACCTTGCCTTGGGCATTGGAGCTTTTGTAGGTCAACAACAACACTGCCCAGAAACAAACCAGAAGTACTGAGTAATATCTCTTAAGTAGTTTAGTAATCTGTTCAATACAGAGGGCCAGCCCAACCATTAGGCAAAATGAGGCAGCTGCCTTAGGCAGTTGATTTTGGATGTTCGTTGCTTAAATTTATTTTTACTGCCAGGAAGTGGGAGAGGCACTTATGAATTTTCTGTCTCAGTTGCCAAAATAACTTGACTGGCTTTGACCCGTGTGCCATTGGCTTTTCTGCCTCTCTTAAGGTTTTGGGCTGTTCCACCAAGGTCTGCGTAACAATCTGTCCACTGTGTTCTGGATGTTTTTGAAAGACAATGCAATGCTTGATTTTGCAATCAGATTATGCTCAGCTTTATGCTTGCGTACTGTAGCTGACTTTACCAAGCTACCTCTTATCACTGCATGAGGGATAGTTAACCAGGAAGTGTTACCCATTCTACTTTGAGAGACTTAAGAATGGGTGTAGAGAATAATCAAGGGTGTGCAAGTATTCTTTTGAGCATGGCAAGTTCAACCTCAGGGAGAATTGCTGTACTGCCGAGCATGGAGAAGAGCAGGAAATCTGCCTGATGGTGTCCTAATCACGTGGAAAGAGCATCAAGGCTACCTGCTGTGTTTTTTGAGACTCTGTGCAAGAAGGATGAGCCATCTTTTCCCCCTGCCTTCTAGTACCCCAGCTGAGGAGGGCAGGGGCTTCTTGCTCCCCATCGCTTCAAGCTTTGAGCATGGCGTAACATCAAGCACATCCTTTGCTCCTTTGTCTGCAGGCTGTGCATGTGGCAAGCATACATTTTGGCTGGATCCCAAGGCCGGCTAAGATTTGTGGACCTCCCAAAGTTTCGGCTTCAGCAAGCAAGCGAGTGATACCAGCTGCCAGTATGATTGCCACACACACAAAGGACCTGGCTAGGAAGGATAAAACTGATTTGGCAAGCTTACTAGAAAATCTAGCATGGCAGCAACCACGTTATAACATGCAGTACTTTTTAAAAAGCTGCTTCCTCCCTTAGATGATTTCCCCCCATTGCTCCTTTTTTTGTGGTGGGCAAAGCTCAAATAGTGATCACAAAGAAGACTTAAATTTTCTAGTCTCCTTGTCTGTGTGTTCCTAACCCCAGGTTTTACAAAGATGCTTGGGGTGTACATATTTAAATGTGCTGCCTCCTACCATTCCTGGCTCCACCCTGCCCCGGGATTGCTCTTTATATCTTGATCGTGAGAGAGGTCATTGAGAGCAGGAGGGAGAGGAGGAAGTGGGATTTTGTGTGGTTTTTCTTCAATTGTTTTTGTTAATTAAGTAGTAAAATGAGTTGCAAGGGCCCCCTGGAGCATTCTAAAGATAACAGGAGATCTTCAAAGGTCTTCCTAAACAAATATTCTTTTAAAAACGTAATAAAGTAGTGCAGTCAGGTTTTTGCAGATCTTGAAGATGTTTTGACTTGCACAACAGCAGTTCTCTTCCAGCCTTGAGAAACTAGAATTGGAGTTTTCATGTGGGTGTGATTTTTAATAATAACCGAGAGCTGTCTGGGACTTTCGGGTCTGATATAATAATTAATTTGGGAGAACCAGATTAATTAGGCCCATGCTAAGTGGTGATGCAACTTCCAGCCAGACCACTTTTTGAGGTCTTTCCTTTCCTAGATCAGTGACTTCCTTTCTCTCCTTTCTGAGGCGAGATTTACACCTAGAGACTTCCTGGTTCGTACTCTTAATCGCACTTGCTACACCAGCTCAGTATGTTCAGGTAATGGCGACTGGTGCCGATTGGGACGGAAAGCCAGGGAGACCAACCATAGTTGAGGCCTGACCCAACTAACTCCAGCTTTGGCCTCATCCTTCTCCCTGCTGAATTCTACAAGGACAATGCTGAAACTGAGCAAGAGGAGACTGATAAGCAGTCCTGTCCCCTTGAACTGCTTATAAGAAAAAGGGCAAGTAGGTGGGGGCTGGCTGAGGGTAGAATGAGGTTGATAGGTGAGTGGCCCCCACAGCCTCCACTGTGCACCATCCTTGGTGAGCTCTTGGAAGAGCTCCGTGTGAATATAACACACGATGGTTCTTGTTATCATAGGTCATTTTTTTCTACTGTTAAGCTGCTTTATGTTTACACATCACTGCATTGGTCCATCGCTGGCCTTCCTTTTTGCCCAGGGCATTTGGAGTAGGTGTAGGCCCGTGGGTTGATAATCCTTCAATCTGTGTCAACACAGTTGGTGTCTGGAGTTGTGCTGATTAGACAAAACAGAAAACAGAAAGGGTGCAGAGTTGGGCCAACTCTAGATTCTGTGCAAAGAAGCAGTGAGAGTGAAGTAAAGGGGGTAATGATAATGCAAAGCTGATAGGTTTGCATGCTCCCGAACGTCCTCAGTTTGCTTCTTCATATGGTTATATTTTATTACTTACTTTTATGCAAACATGCATACACAAAAATATTCTTTTTTTAAAAAAGACCCCACAATGGACACTGAAAAGCACAAAACACTCATTATACTGAGAAGGGCACATCTGGATTCATCATCTTGATTTATCATTCCGGAATAATTTATTTATCATTCCAGAATAATAATACATTGAGAGTCTGTCTTCGCTAAAAAAAAAGGGGGGGGGAATAAATATTATGGGCATAAACTTCAGTTGTTTCCTTTATAAAGTTATTTTGTATATTAATGCCTTTCCTGAGCTTTTATATAATGCTTGAGCTTTGTCATGTAGAATGATCCTCGTCTGTTTCTTCTGTCCAGATCTTACCCAAAACCTTGCCCATTTTTGGCAATCTCTCATCGCTTAATTAGCCACTCTTGATTATAGGAGTAATTGTTCTGACCCCACAGTGGAAATCAGTGATCTTGGCAGCTAATAAAAGGGTTTGAAACAAGTTAATCCAGCAGCCCGTTGAAAATGGTTGTCTAAAAAGTTCAGCAACGGTCGTCAGTTGATCACGGGAGCAAAGCAAAAAACCCAGATTGGGAGACTGTGTCCCTTCGATTAACAGGTGTTGGGGGACAAACAGATGGTGGCAGTGGGGTGGGGGTTTACTAAAGCTTCTTGGAAACACTGCTTAGTCCACAGGTCACCAGCCCAGCACCACGTTGTTCTTGGACCGGTGCCTCAGACTCTTAGCTCTCCTAGAAAGAAATTATGGAAGGAAATGCACATTTACTTTCTAAGTAATTTCTGTGAAATGAGAGTGGTGTTGGCGCCTTGTATAGTTTTCCTGGTGCTGAGGAATGCTTCCTGTTATGACAACAGTTTGTGTGATATCTCAGTAGCCAGGACCAGCTGGATATAGCTGATTTTCCATGTTAAGCCTAAGTTTGTCAGGGGTGGCTATCCCTCTGATTTTTAAATTATGCCATGCTCCCCCCTGGCAGCCATTTTGTGACTGGCACCCCCAGCTCACTCTCAAAATTCAAAGTGTGCCCACTAGTCCAAAATGGTTGGTGACTCCTGGCTTAGCCAAGATTTCCTTGAAATGCGAAGCTGCAGTAGATGTACTTTAAGACGGCGAGCAAGCAGGGCTTTCCTTAAGTTCTCGAGGGAGAACCTGCAAAAATCCCTTTCTGAAACTTCCCCCTCCCAGTCTTAAGGATCAATAGGGAAATGTATTTGTATCTCGTTACATCCAGCACCCTCTGTAACGAGAGAAAGATTCCTTGCTCTCAAATGTTTCTCCTTGCATTTGAGCTGGCACAAGGCTTCCTGGTGCCTTGCAGTGATGTCTGGCAGGTGCAATATGTGTGCACGAGGATCCAGTTATCGGGGATG